AGGCGGTGGTGGGGCCTGCTCAGTGTAGCAGTGCAAAACACCCTTGCTGCCACTTTGCTCCGGTCTTCGCCCATTACCGCATTAGCTGCTTGCCGGCGCGTGCAGCCGTCGCCGCCCAACGCAACTCCGTAGTTCGCAGGTGCATTGGGACAGCGAAAAAAACGAATCTTTTCGAAGTTACGGATGCACTTCGCCGACTCCCCATACTTTCTTTGCTTTACAAACCAGAGACTCCATTGCATGGAAAGCTTTTTTTTTGTTTGTGCCAGCTTGAAAAGCAACGGAAGGGGGGGGAAAAGCGGTGTCATACGTCGTATAAGCTCACCACGCATTACCCCGGTCGATCCATCCCACTCGGCTTTCTACGTGCAGGGAGCCGGTCATAGATGGAAATGGGAAGGTAGCGCCTCACCTCCAAAAGCAGCCGCGGCCCTCAACACTCAGCACGACAAGGTGGCAGCGGCGCCGAGCATAACTCAGGGTGGGTCTGGTGCCGCCTTTTGCGCACAGTGGCAGTCAAAACGTGGCCCGGAAACCAGAGGCGGATCCAGCGTCTCTGCCGTCATTGACATGCTGATTGGGAAGTGTCGAGTTCCCTATAAGCGTTTAGCTTCAAAGCCCTGGACACAGGCATCGCTACCAAACGGCGTGCAAAAATAAATGAGAAAGAGCAGTGAGCCTCTTGTTGGGCCGGCGGGTGCCGAGTCGCCGACCCACACGGCGGCGTCAGCCTCGCCTTTGCAGCACGGAAACCGTTGCAGCGTTCCAGACGCGCATGTTGGGACAGTTTAGTTCGAAGGCACGTGCAGTCATGCTGCGGTCTAAGCGCGGGTCTTGGCTTGGTTGAGCTTGCCCCGGCCATGGTCCCAGATGGCATTTTCGAGAGCGCAGGAGCAGGGCAAGCTGAAAAGTTGTAATGCGTAGCGTCATGGCCATGACCTTTGGGTGCCAACAATTTGCAGCTCCCGTTTAGAGGTCTTCATGAAGGTGATTGTGCTGGCAGTTGATGCATTTTTTTTTTCCCGCCTTTTTGCTGCTGCCAGAAAGCACATGGAAACTTGCATTTCTCGCGCGCATCACGCACGCAAGGGCAACCTGGAGGGTTGCTCCGCCTCGGCGAGCTCCAGGATTCACCAGAGCGGTGTTCGCTCGTCTCCGGTAGGCTGCGCCAGCGCTCGCCAGCAGCCGCCCAACAGCGTCGAGGCCAAGGCGCGCTGCAACGCACATCCGAGCTGCAACCACCACCGGCGCGCACCCCGCGCGGGCAGCAGCACGCAGCGCCCGCGGCGTGCGCAGGGAGCGCTGTTGCGCGAGGCTGCGGACGACGTCATGCGCCTCTTGCCCCCATCGCCCATCGCCCGCCGACCTCCGCAGCCAGGACGACGAGGCGTTGCGGGCCCGGGCCGGCCAGTTCAGGGTAGCGCCGTTGTTTGCGCCGCCTCGCCACGTCGATGGCAGCCCCATCTCGATCTGACGAGGCTGGTTGCGGGCGCCTGGCTGTCCGCAGCGGCGAAACCAGGATCACATCGCAGCAGAGTGCCTCGCCGCTCCGAGACGCGCCATATATGACGAGGTCGAGTCGGCGCCGGTCATCTGGGGCCGGGGCTACGCCCGGCGCGGTGGTCCGCGCCAGCCATTGTTGGGGGACCACCCGCCCTTCGGCGGCGACGGCTTCCCGCGCGACGTGAACCCATGCTCGCTCGAGTATGGGAGCACGCCTGGCCGCAGGCGGCGCGATGGTCGCCCAGCTGGTCCACCACGGCTCGGCAGCCTGGCTCACCATGTCCACTGCCCGTACGCCAAGGGCAGCGGCAAGCGAAGGCGTCGCCGGAGAGCGACTTGCTCATCCAACGGCAGGAGTTGTGTGCCCTCGTCCGTGGGGATGGCTCGCATGCAAAATTGCCACTACTTTGAGGGCGAGCTGTTTGGGTTGCCATACCCTGAATCTGGCCTTGAGGAAATCATCGCAGAGTATAGCGTCATCTATCGTGGAAGAGGCTGCGGACGAGGAGAAAAACAACTAGCTTCCTTGTTTCCCTGCGTGTGCCGGGGCCTATGAGGTTGACAACCGCTGCCTCTTATTTTTTTCGATAGCCCCTTAATCAGCGACGATCCTGCCTGTGGACCTTGGCTCAATCTCGTCGGCGCGTCGACTTTCTCCAAAAAAATTTTGTAGTGCTTCGCTCGCAGACCTGAAGGCTGTGCGACCGCGAAGAACATCAGTACGCCGTGCGCGGGCATCGACGGCTGACGACAGGCTCACGCAGTCGAGATGGCTTTTCGGCCGGATCGGTGAAGGCAACTTGTAAGGCGCAAGCTCAGCAGCGGTGAATACTTGGCGGGCACTCGCGTGCGCGTCTACTGTGTCGTCCTTGCTCATCGTGCTGGAGTCGCATCATTGGCGCGAGGCGCCCATCCGCTGCCTGCTCAGCCGTGCGTGTGAGGAGTGAAGCTTTGATGGACGTCGCACCCTGAACTCTTAGTCGCCCGTGTTTTGAATCTGGTCGTTGCCGGGTTGGAGGAGGGCGGGGGGGGCCCGGGAACCCCGGTGCGTGCGGACCGGCAGCAAATCCGAACTGCGACTACGATTACGACGACAACGATGATGACAATCACCACAAGATGCGGCCCAGCCGCCGGCATCACGAGGAGGGTGAGGCGCATGCCAAACTTGGGCGGGAGGCGTTGGTGGAGTATGCCGTCGGTTGCGGTTAAGCAGGCGGTCACCATCACGGCATCCACCAGGCAACTCCTTCGGGCCAAAGCCGCCTGCCCTGCGGCCCTAGTGGAGGACCGCAGCCGTTTTCCTGGTAGAGCTAGACTGGCTTGAGCCAAACTGGTTCGGCCCGCGCCACTTGTGCTACTCTTGGCGTGCTCGCATGCCTGTGCAAGACGAGCCCGACGCATAGGCTACGAGACAATCGTGCAAGCCAAGACGCAGAGAAGTAGAAAGCATAACACGGCTGAAACGGAGTTCAGCCATGAGATCAAAGTGCAAGCGATGAATTAAGGTTGGCTGACCTTGTTGGTGGTGGTGAATGGGTCAACAAGTTCGCCTTGCCCTGCGTTGTGCACGGCCGCAGACAACTCGCAGTGGCCATGCAGGCGTGTCATGTCGTCATTGCAGTAGCATGCATGCACATCTTACACCCACTCGTGTTGTTCAGCCTTGTGTTGTTTCTTGCGGCAGGGGCACGGCATGAATCTCTTGCACACCCTGTCGAGGTACCATGCTACAAATTGCGAGATCATGGCAGCAGCCAATCCAGCCCTCGGCCTGGACATGTTCGGAGTGTTGGAGCTGTGCGCGTGATCTTGCCGGGACAAAGGCTCGTGCGGGGGCCACCGAGATCAATGTACTGGTGCCTGGCACTTGAACAAATGAGGGACTCGCATGATGTTCTTGGGTCGATTGTAGCGGCACGCAGACGGAGAGACAGAGACATATGATATGCTTACATCTGGAGAATGCGATGGGAAACTTGCGGAATCCTGAGGTGATGAGTCCCTACAGTGGTTCCACTGGTGATTTAATGACGATGGTTGAGCCAGCCCTCGCCAGTGCCACACAAGATATTGAGAACAGCAACATTCTTCCAGGCAGATCGGGATCGGGATTAACGATAATAGGTAGAGACAAGACGGAACATGTGGTGCAGGCTACCGATTACGGATGTTGCTGGTGGACACGAAATGCAACGCAAGAGATGCCACCGTGGCAACAGTTACGGCATTGTCGACGGGTGTGCCAAAGCACATCATTTTCGGCGGCTTGACAGCAGCAGAAGTTGGAGCCGATGGCACTAAGCAAATTTATGCAATGCTGCAAGCTGAGCTTCATGGCAGGTGATTCTTGCAGTTCTGCGTGCGAAGCGATAAATGATGCGGCTTCTTTCTTCAATGTGCTTCAGGCCGAACCATGCGGGTGTTGTAGAAGCATGGGGGATGACATGTCGAGTTTCGTCGTGCTGCCAGCATGGGCAGGTAGGTCCGGGCTGCACGTCTACGAGCCTGAGCGATTCGGCGCCCTGGCCTGTCATGCAGCTGTTCTGGGTTTCTGCATGATCTGGTTTGCTTCAAGCCAAGATGAGCCAAGGTCCGGTACCCCTACTTCACCCGAATGGCTCCGTCGTATCGTTTCAACATCTTGGCCGTATACGAGTTCCTGAAACTTCTGAATTTTCACAGAGTTGGCATTGTGATGCTTGGTTGCATTTTGCATGACGGGGAGACACGTGTTAGAGCAGCCAGCTCGTGGCTTTTGTGATACTCGTTTACAGCTGCTTGCCTTGAGGCACGGGTTCAATACTATCAACATCCTTGCGAAGGATGTAGGGGGAATGTCGGCCCGGGGGGGGGGGGGGGTTGAGGGTTTTCTTGAGGGTTTAGGGTCTCGGCACCATCGCCATGGTGTTCATCATGTGCAAGGCACTTTTGTCAGACAGCGCGAAGCCTCCAGGGGACTTTGTTCGCAGCCTGTGCTTTTTCCAAGAAGAAAAAATGCGAGGACATGTTTGTGGAGCTTATCCAGGCAGATGTGGATTCAGAGGCTTATGCATGGGCAATCCTGCACATAAGCGCCGTCACCAGCGCGGGTAATATTCCCGATGCCCAGCATGCGCTGGCCGAAATGCATCGGACAGACTCACGCATCAACTTCGTGGCACTGTATGCAGACACTGGGTCCATGTTGCTGTGCCAAAGTTACAAGCTAAACATGCTCTCCCCGGACTACATCTTCATCGTGGCATCTGGTTGGTGGAACCCTGGTTTCATCTTGGAGAGAGCAGGTGCCGAGGATTGTCCTTGCACTGCAGAGGAGTTACACCGTGCAGCATATGGTATGTTGGCATTGGATCGCGGTCCTATGCAACAAACCAATGATCTGCATGAACTCTCTGGTGTGCGACTTGCAGACATCTACGCAAACTACACGTCCGAATGTAGTGGCTTTGCAAATGGCAATGGCCCTTGCAACCACCAGTGGGCTGCATATTTCTACGATGGCTTGTGGTTGATTGCACATGTTCTGCATGCTTATTTGGTAGATGGAGGGAGGCGGGGCACGGAGACAGTTTGCAGATGTTGATTTCTTTGAAGACTGAAAGAGCAGAATTGGCAGCCTCTGAGGTCAATATCCGATCTGCGAACTGAAGCCTCGCGTCAAGCCCTTTACGATTTGTCACTTTCAACAGACTTCGTCGGCCTGACTGGACGGGTGCGGCTGTTCAACTCTGTGGATCCAACCACAACACCCCCCTCACATGGAGATCGGGAAGGAATCATCCTTTTCCGCCAGGTGTCTTAGCTAAAGTCAGAGATAAATGCTGACAATGCTGAAATGCTCCTGTTCATCATGCAAAAGCTATGCAGCCCACGCGTGATCCGCTTTGAGGTGGTCGGAAGCTACGACAATGCCTTTAATGAGCTAGCCTACCGGACAGATTCTGGAATAGAGTTCAAGGCAGACATCGCTTGGAGCCCTGACCCTTTGCACCATCTTTCTTGCAGCACTGGAACTTGTGATTTATCTTCCGGGCATGTGCCCAAAGATCGTGGAGACAGTTGCCCGGATGGAACAGTGTTTTCTGTCGAACTTGGATGCATCCAGTGCCCTCCTGGCGAGTACCTCAGATTGCATGTTTTCATTTTGATTTAATGGCCTTGGGTACTACGTCACCTGGCTGTGGCGAAAGTCTGCGTCTCGCCACGACCAGGTATGCCACCAGTGGGATGCAGGAATGTCGTGAATGTGCACAGGGGTCTTTCACAGACCAGCCCGGAATGGCGGGCTGCACTTTGTGTGGTGCTGGTACGAAGGCGCCATTCCCGCGTGCAACCTCGTGCCAGGATTGTCCTGCAGGACCGGGCAAAACAAGCTTCCTTCCTTTTCTCTTTGGAGGGATTCGGGAGATGGGTCAGACGGACGTTTGGAGCATGCTTGCTGCGGGATGTCCCACCATGCTTCGTGGTGTCTTGATCGTGTTGTCGGTTACTGCCCCAGGCCAGTACATGGACGAGCGGGGTGCTTCGCAATGTGTCGCCGGCACGTTGTCCTGCCTGCTCTTCGGTCGGAGCAAGGGCACACCATGTCATATCAGGCTTTCATTGAAATCGTGAGGGTTGCGTGCGTACAGCTGGCCGCCAGGCAAGAAGTGCCCACTGGGGCAATATGCAGAAAATGTGGCTAGGGTGGCAGTGGCTAGCAGTTGTGGTCTGCTTCCGCCCGGTAGCACCAATTCGACAGCTTCTAAGAGTAGCCGCGACGAAACGCAGATTGTTCCTGTTTCACCCACATTCCGCAGATAATCTGAGGACGGCCAGCAGCAATGCACCATGTGCCCCCCGGGCCAGACCACGAGTTTTGAGGCAGAGTGTTTGCGAGGAGAGCTTGTGCAGGGATTGCGGGTAACGTCATTTGCCTCAGCCTCTGAGGGCGCTGCCGAGCTTTCCGTTTGCACCTGTGATGGCTTCTATTACCAGCAGCAGTGCATCAAATGTGCCTTCGGGACACGCTTTGAGGCAGGGTCCTGTGCCCCTTGGCTTGCAGTGGCCATGCTTCGGTGTGAACGGGCTGTTGTGGGCAATGACGGCGCCCGACTCGCAAGTATTCAGTCATGTATTCATTCCACACGAACAGAGACAGACAGACGGACAGACCGGCGAGCGGACGGGCAGGCAGGCAGGCAGGCAGGCAGGCAGGCAGGCAGCCAGACAAACAGACAGACGGAGAGACACAGACCGACTGTGTGGAAGAAGAAAAAAACAGAGACAGACAGACAGAGCTTTATCGTATGCAGTGTTGTGCAACATGGGGGACCGAAGTGCAGTGAGACAGCCACACAGTTTGAGGTAGCAGATGGGCACAGGGCAGCAAACTCATGCAGCTGGGGGTCTTTCCAGTGTGTTGTTGTGGTGCACAGAAGCCCGAAGCCCATCGCAGTCGCCCACCAACCGCCCAAGTCGGCCCAGAAAGTATTAGGTAGCAAGTTCAAGTTCATGTTGTTTGAGTAGCCATTGCTTGAGAAGTCCGGCCAGCGCAGTTGAAAGTTGTGGGGTCTGTACCATACGAGTCTGGGGGACAGAACCTGCAACGCCCTTAGACGAAGACGAGGCCGGGGGATTCATAGGTTTAAACATAAGGGGTTTGCGAGCTCAAACCTCGGCCTCATCGAGTAGCAACAGCAAAGACTTGTGACAATCAGGGCGCGTTCGCGCGCGGAGGGGAGTGCGTCCGTGCTCCTCTTCTGACTGTGTGGAAGAAGACAGAGAGGAGAGACAGACAGAGAGAGACAGACAGAAGGAAACAGACAGAGCCAAGGAGCAGCGATATTCCAGCTTTCGACACGAAGCCCATAATTGATTATGCCATCGATGAGCCCAAACACTGGAAGCAGCTGGCAGTCCAACATATCCAGGAAACATTCCGAGAGCACCCTTGAGGTTAACGCTCCCGAGGCCATCCCATGAGAGAACACGTAACGCACTGTTGCAGGAAGACAGGTCCCACCCCAAAACGCGGGGAGGTGGACGTTGGCGGGCAGCGGGAAGACAATGCACAACCCAAAGTACACAACGCCCTGCATCGAAGCACAATTTCAGCACCCCTGAATCATCAAATTCTTAAAGCCACTTAAAGTGAAAACTCCACAAACGAATCGACGCACACCATCGTGTGATGATAAAGTTCGGGGTAGAAACCTTGGATTTCAAAATGGTGTTCGATGTCGAATTCGTGGTTCCGCTTCTCGAAGACTTATTACAGGGAAGTCGTTTCCTTTTCGCTTCCCTTCTCTCCCTCCCGAGCTTCCTTCCCCTCTCTCGGTGTCTAAGTTTACTTTTTCTCAGTCTTTGTCCCTTCCCTGCTTACTTTTGCATGCTGCCACATGTGGTCCAGCTGAGGTGAGATGTGATCGCACACAGATTTGCGAAAATGGCTTGGTTACAGGCAACGCCACGACGGATGATGAATGGGGCATCACCATCGACACGGCTGGGCGGCAGCGCACGCTTTCACAGATAATGACGAACGAGTTCTTGATGGTCACCTTGGGTATCGATGTGGCAAGGCACAAGAAGGTAATGCAGGATGCAATGACCCTTTTTCAAGACACCCTCGAGGACCTGCGTGTAGGGAACCCGCAGCTGCAGATCATTCCAGCCCCCAGCGACGATGTGCGGGAAACCATCGAAAACGAACTGACAGAGAGGAAGCTCGCAATGTATGAGCTGCTGAATGACAACGTAGACTTGTCCACAGACGTCTCGGAATCAGTTCTCCACTCTTTGTACATTCAAAATCAGCAGCTGTTCGATCTCTCTAACCAGGTGGTGAGCCTCCTTGTCGATGCAGCCCAGTCTGCCGGCGCACGCTTGAATGGCTTGCTTGCAAACACGGCCGGACGCCAGCGGTCTCTCATTCAGAAGATGTTGAAAAACGTGTTGTTTGTCGCGAAGCGGGTAGATGTGGAATCTAACGTGGAAGAATTGCGCAGCAACCTCGATGTTTTTGAAGCCAGCCACAGCGCCATCCTCCGCGGCGCAGACTGGGCCGGTATTCCTCAGCTGACTCGCATGTGCACTATACATCAAATGAAGTCAGTCACGTTTTACTACCAGGAAGTCCGGAGTTTGGCTCGCAAGGTTTTCAATGCACGGTCACAGGCCGAAAGCATTGATACCGCCTTGCTTGTGGCGAGCAACATGTCTGCCAACGTCGACCCGCTTGCTGTCGCAATGAGCGAGGCAGTCAAACTTTATGTGAATGACCCTGGTGACTGTGACCCCCTGGCGACGATCACAGACAGTAATTTTGTCAGCAATACGGCCGACAAGTGATTGCTTTCGAAAAGTCCCATCAGTGGCGTGCCATGCACGCTTGCTTCAAACGCCGAGGTGAGTGGGCCAAATTGCTGAATGGCCTTGCTGAGCAACAGATCACCAGTCAGAAGATAGCTCGGCTTTACATGCAAGTCGCGAACAATGTCATGGTCGAGCAGAGCACCTTGGCAGGGTGCTGACATGTGTTCGATAGCCAACATGAGGTGCAGACATTGCTTGAATCACTCACTCCAATTCTCAACTTAACGAATCACAAGGATCCCAGCCCCTCAAAGCACTCCAATGGACCTCGACCATGAGTGATCGCCATGTTTTTGAATTCCCCGAGGCAAGGTGGATCTCGCTGTGGAAGTCACCAGCAACACGCAGCACCTTGGCAGATCCATTTCCTTTGTAGGCCTCCAAGGCCTCTAAGAAGCGATACGTCTCCGCAGCATCTGCAGCGCGGTCTCCGCTGCCTCAGTCTGGGCGGGTTTACCGGGGCAGGGAAGTACCACCCCAAGAATTGACTCCTTTTCGTGTTTGGATTTGACCCCTTTGTGAGCCTTTGTGTGTTTGGATTTGACTCCCTACCCTACCCTGCCCTGCACTACCCTACCCACCCTACCCTACCCTACCCTACCCTACCCTACCCTACCCTACCCTGCCCTCCCCTACCCTACCCCACCCCACCCCACCCCACCCGACCCTACCCTACCCTACCCTACCCTACCCTACCCTACCCCTACCTACCTACCTAC